CCCCTCCCACATGAAGGGAATTTCGGACCCAATTAACGCAAAACACTGAACAGAGTCCCACCCATTGGGTGGATAGTTCCGCCCAGTGACTACTTGTCGCCGTTATGTTTATGCTTGTACTATCGTAAATATAATACTAGAAAAGTCTACATACACTGAGAACGCGATTACCTAAAAAGCATAAACGAACTTAATCAAGACGAGACACATCTTGCGGATGTACTGCCTATTGCGGAGATAGCCCCGCCCCCTAATCGATAGCCTTCTTTCCGTTTTAACTTTGTAGCTTTCGGTAGCAATAGCGAATAAATATCGACGTACCTTCGAACCAATGCTGCCCAATTCCGAAAGCATGGCCCCGAGGCAACTCCGGACGCTGTTCTGGTAACGGAACAACGAGAATTTCTTCACCAAATTCTTCAGCGACTGAATTCGAAGCTGGATAGTTGGGTTCAAGAGGGTGACCGTAAGTTCCGTGAATGAATATTGTCATTATAATTACGTCAATTGTTCTAAGAATTGACAGAATTTCAACTGATTCTTGTATCAAATTCTTGAAAATTTGAGGCTTTATTACTGATTTCCATAGAGAACACACAAAATCTGCTCGGTCTAACAGTAGCCACATGTCCTGGGGCATTCTGACTTCATCAGAGTAAGATAATCGGATTGACGACAGTAGGCTTTCATTCCAGGGCATTCGTTCACACCTGTTCGTGGATTCGTTTTGTCGGCACAAGGCGTGGAGGTTACTGTTACCGTTCCTGAACAAATAGTTATTTCTAGACAAAAACTTGGACTTTCAAAAGATTTCAATTCAGGTCAGCGCTTTTGATATAGTGAGCTTTACAGAATCCCTAGACGAAAGGTACTCGGAAGACATTGTGACGGTCATTCTTTGTGGGATGCTTTTTCAGGAGGAGGGGGGAAGGGTGGGTGGAAAAGGACAAAAATTTTTTACGGACCTAAACTCTTACCGTTATCCAACTGTGCTTCGTATTTCTACTATTTTAACCCGCATAGTAATATTCAGTTCTGGTATTAGTATCAAAAAGCAGTGGGACTACGGATTCAGGTATGACAATATTGGATTTTTGGTTCCAAACTAGACTTTTCAACGTGTAGGAAAGCTCACCAGAGCAATATCCGCAGGTACTTGGGCACTGATCACGCATGAGAGACAGGTAAGCCGAGTTTGTGCAGTACGACTTCATTCCAGTACAGTCTGACTTGCCAGTGTTGGGATTTATCTGTAAAAAAGGTTTTTCAGGAAGGATTGAGGTGAACCGGCTTTAACAGAACTACCTTATCGACACACGAAGACGATGGGGTTGTAGATGCTGCAAAAACAAGAGATAAAGTTATTTACATGGCTGGCCAGATATCTGACTGGACTTACTGACAACGCTGGCGGACGGACAACATTCTGTCGGTGAGATGAGGGTGTACCCACTTGGACAGAAACCATTTAAAGCACCTGAAAAAGAAGTTTTACCATTAAGGCATCAGTTGGAACTGACTGAGCTTACCAGAGGTGGGTACACTACAACTTTGCGAGTAGACGGTAGCGATCAGGCCAAAGACAAAAAGAGCGATTGAAAAAAGCATGTCGGAGTTGACGAAAGGTTGATCTCCACGGCATTTATCCCGCCCGGTTCGTTACGGTTCATCTGAACAATCGGACGGCTTCGAGGCACAATCAGAAGTGATGAATTGGAAGCTGAGCAAATAGACAGCGGAACAGCCGATCAGAGTTTTTGGCCTTTGTTGCAACACCATGATGATTTTTTTGCTGGGGCTGAAGGCTATGTTTGATCAGGAAGATTACCTGCGCTGGATACGTCATTCATACGAGTACCGTTGAGATCGTGTAGAAGATCGAGCAAGCATATGCTTCATATGCTTCATATGCTGGCAGGGGAGAAAAGAAAGTGGAGGTACTGAAAAAATAGATTTCATGGAAGTAAAATCAGTCAATCAGTCATAAAAACCAGATATCTTCAACAAAATCAGAGTTATTTGAATTAGGGCGGAGCTACCCGCGAGTTAGACTGACGACAGAGCGGACGGTGGATGAGGAAGAGGAAGAGATAGAAGAAAGGGAGGGAGAGATGTTCCAAACAATTTCTCAACCGCACTGATTAAAATCGGTGCCAGCAACTTAACGAGTCATCATCTAGAGGCCTTTAATTGTGCTAAGTAAGTTTTGATTAGAAAGTTGACTTACAGATCAAAATTACGAGTGCTTGTAAAAGTAGCCCGAGTGAATTTCCTGGTGACTCCCGCAGCTTTCTGCATTAGCTAAACCTTTACTAATAAAAGTTCATGG